TCAAGAACCTCAACGACATTCGTGACCCCGGCACCCTGACCAAGACCGGCCCCCTGTCCTTCAACGAGCTCAAGAACCACCTCGCCAAGTCCGCCGTGTTCCAGTACTCGGGCTCCCTGACTACCCCTCCCTGCAACCAGAACATTGCCTGGAACGTCGTCAAGCAGCCCGTCTACATTGACCTCGCCAACTACATCAAGGCCAAGAGCGTCATGAAGTTCAACTCGCGCATCACCCAGAACTTCCCCGGCGAGATCAACCTCATCGAGAACGCCTGCAACTCTCTGTAAGGGAGTCAACCTCTCCGGTTTCTTCTTGTTCTTCTTCTTCTTGTTCATCATCTTTTTCCTGATCTATATTTTCCTCTCACATTATCACGGGGGCGGAGTTCACGAGGGCGCCAGTCACGGATGCATCAGCGGCTTTCTTGCCGGAGTTTGCGGCAGAGAGCGAGTAAGTGGTTGGGCAGGCGAGCGGGCGGTTGCATCGGTGGGCGGTGGGCGGTGGGCGGATGGTTTCTCCTTGTCCCTCTCAAGATGAACGTCATCTTGACATAGTGTTTTGGGGGGTTTTGAGACCCCTTGTTGTGTTTTGCTCCACCACTTGTCGACGGATTTGTACATGACCGGCTTACATACATACATACATACATATCACGTTGCAACGTGCACTGCAATAAAATGGATCGACTTTGCTTTCCTTGAGAACCCTTGTTTATACCTAGCTAAGCAATAAGAAAAGGACGGCCTCTGCTTCGCTCGTGCTTCGCCCACACTGCGGGGTGATCCATGTCTGTTGCGACAGGCCGTGAATCGCAGCGCATTCCGCCATCAGTAATAACGGGCCACTGCTACGGCGTTGAAAAAAAAAAGGGGGAACTGCCCCCCCATCCCCCGCCAGGGAAAGTGGAATCGTTCGATTTCTTGCAATTGCGTCCGAGATACTCCGGCGCTCTGCGTCGACGTTGGGTCCCGTTCGTCCGCCGTCATTGGGCGGCCGGGAGGGGGGGGAGGGCTGTGACACCTGGGGTTCGGGGGGCCCGCCCGCCGATCGCCCCCAAACTCCCCAACTCCTCCCCCCCGGAGTCTCCACATGGCAGAGAAAGGAAACACAGCTGTGGTCGGCGAGCGGGACACGCTCGTCCCCGGCCTTCGTTCCGACCCAACGTCCGATGGATGGTGTTGATGCTGTGCTCTGATCTGGCCGAGGGATTCCGAGTGTGCCGGGTTTACACGACATGCATGCGCCGAGCGCGCAACCTTGCCCTGGGCGCGCGCGGGGAGGGGGGGCGGTAAAGAAGGTTCAGGGGAGACGCAGACGAGAGGGAGAGAGAGAGAGTACGACGAGGTGCGAAGCTCGGCAGCCTCCGTGGACGTCGAGGCTGCCAAGGCTTCGCCAAGCGTGGAACATGGTCCGGCAGTGGGATTTGGGTACACTGGAGCAGGAGCAATTTGGGGGGCAAGGAGGCGAGACTCTTCTGTTTCCTCCCCGCATTCTGGCGGGCTTGCGTGGCGCATGGCCTTGG